AGCATTTCCAAAAATGGAAAGAGGTGGGTGAGGTTCCACTGTGTTTGATTTAGTACATGAGCAATATCTTAGCAAATTGAAAAGATAATATGCTCTTATATCAGTAATTTGAGTTCCTAATTCATACAAACTATAGACTTAGTATTTTGACATCACTAACATCTAATATGAACCAGTGCTGCATTCAACATACCATGTGACACACAAAAATTGATGTTTAAATGTGTTTTTTTTTTGGTACTTACTTTTAAATTAAGAAATTGAATAAGGTATAATAAAATTTTAATTATAATATACAGTTTGACATAAATTCATTAAATAGTAGTTCAATATCATTTTGAATGAGAGTCAACAAACGTGATAACACGGCCTTTCTCCCATAACTCATTTGTAAAGGTTTAACAAATCCTGAAAGAGAGGATGTGACAGTTGGGTTTGGCAAGAGGGGTCTGATTTTCTATTTGATAGCTCTGTAACCAAACAACAGGGCAGGAAATTCATGGTGGCATTTGCCACTGTATCTTCTGAAATGGCCATGGTGCCCGAAAAAAATCACTAAAATCCACAGCAATGACGACCACCTATCTGTATCCCTTTGGCCCTCATGATCTAATCTTATAATGCATACCACAGTAAATGGAAAAACCACTTATGATCACAAACACTGGACTTAGAACCCACAGAAACTACCTTGTTATGAATAATATATCACATAAAATGCATGGATTGGTGGGAGTGAAGTTTTCACTTTGATCGACAGTAAAACATTTGTGCAGTTTGTTCTGTCATACCAAAACTTAAGTCTCTTAGTAGTAGCAAGCAATTCAAATCGGTGCTCAAACAACAAACCTGCAGAGCTTAAACAAAGATCCATAGCACAGGAGCAGGACCAAAGTCAGATTGTACATACATTGGTTAGAGTGAAATGCATGACTGAAAATACTTCTTGCATCAAACATGTTAAAAAAGGAACAAGTTATGAAAGAGAATGCCATGAAATTTTTTCTATGGTGGCCAAGTGCCGGAAATTGGAACCTTTTTTTCTATCATTGGTAAAAATGTAGAATACTGTTACATCTCTGTATGTTTGTTTGTTAATTCTTCTACAATACAAGTCCTTTCTTTATAAAACTTGTTTATTCTTCCTCAATACAACTTTGTAACGTACTTAATTTTCACAGTTACACACACTATAGTTCACAACAATTCACTCACTTTCTATCGCGCTTAGACTTAATTGTCCGTCCCCGCAAACTATAGTTCCGATCTCTGTGTCTGCTATCCTCAGTCCCGCCGACCGTAACCGCTGTCTTTCTTTCTCTCTGCCTGCTTCGTCTCCGCTACGACTCTGTTTTTGTCTCCACTATGTCTCCGTCTCTGCCTTCACTACTGCTTCGACTCAGTCTACGTCTCTGTCTCCACTACTAGCGCACTTATATACGATAATACTGCCTGTTCTAGAAACTTCTAAGACTCTCAACACATGCTACCAGCGTCAGTTGACGCAACGCTGTCGCAACACACTAGCGAATCTTCTAGAATATTCGTCACGTGAACATGTTATAGAGTGTAGCTTAAGGTACTGTCTATATTTAATTAAGTAGTGTTACGACAGTGGGGGTCACGTGACGAGTATTCTAGAAGATTCGCTAGTCTGTTACGACAGTGGGGGTCACGTGACGAGTATTCTAGAAGATTCGCTAGTGTGTTACGACAGCAGGGAAAATTAAAAGTGAAAGAGAATTAATTAAAATGTAACACTAAGAACACTTACCCAGAGTTCATTACCTACAAGATAACTATCCAGGTAGTTCACTATGTTTGGATGTTTCATTTTCTGTAGTACAAAAAGTTCAGTGATGAAAAGTTCTTTTCTGGGTTGCTGGGTTAGATCAATCCGCTTAATAGCAGCTTTCAACCCAGTCTCTGTTTCTATGGCTGTATATACAGTTCCTGAACCATTGAAACAATAAAAGAAAATTTCATTAGAATCTGTAATATGCTGGTATGTGAAGACATTACCAGATGCTGGTGATAAAATTATTGTGTCTTTTAAAAAATAATGGGTTATCATATGTTTCTAGTCTTATATTTCTGTAAAGTGGTAAAACTGTATGCTTAATTTATTATACAGCAGTTAGAAAATCATGCATAAATAATTGTTTGTTATTATATAAATGCTACTCTAAAATATTGTTAAATAATAAATAGTAGATTATATTCACACACATAAGCACCACTTCTTCAAATTACAATTATTAACTTTTGGAAGTGTGTTCTGCTGTTACATTTAAGATGTACTCATGATGTGATGTTTGTTTTGAATCTTTTTTTACTATAGTTCAACTAAGCCTAATCTTTTGAGCATAAAATTATTAATGACACTGCGGATTATTTTGCCCTATAAACCTTGTGTGTGACCAAATGTACTTTAAAAGTTCACATGGCAATGATATCTTTCCACAGTGTTATTTTATTCTTCATAATTTGCCAAATCCCCCCTTTAAATCAAAATGTACAATTATTTAGTTTCACATTTTTAACCCTCTCTGAACTATGCAAACATTTTTGCTGAAACTAAAATAGTTGTGTTTGAATACAAAGTTTTCTTGATATAACATGAGATAGCTGTATTTGGGTGAGATGAATCAGACTGCCCACTTATAACTCTGCAGTTTTTTCCTTTGTAGATCAGAAAATGGCAAGGTGTTTCTAATGTTGGACATCTCTATATTTTATTATTTAAATCCTATTTTCAATACATCAGGAATACCATTCTACAGACTGGTTAACCAGCACATGCATTTTCTCTCTGCATAGCATATACTATAATAATTTTCTCTACTGAAAATGTACTTCCAATAGGTACTTACATCCTATCACATAAATATCAATTCTCATTTAGTGCTACTCTGTATATGAAAAAGTTTTTTATGCATGCCACAAGCCTTCTGCCTCCCCACCATTGGAAATGACTCATTTCAATATGTCTTTCATGTAAATTATCATGCGACAACCCTCCAGCAATGAGAGTGCCACGTGCTCTAGTTATGCATGTAACTTCCTCTATTCAATTCTACCAGACTATCACTTCTGCTAGAAATTGGAAGCATCAGTTTTCAATGGGTAGGAAGGGTGGGAAGTGTGAAAGGAGGTAAGTATCTATCGTAAATACATATTCAATATAGGAATAAACAGCTAGAATCCCACACTGAATAAGTAGCGAGACTGGTGCTAGGGAACTTGTGATATAAAATTTACCAAAATGACCAGCTTAATGTCAAATATTCGTTGAATTGAAAAGTTTTTCAAAAGGCTAATGAACGTACAATAAAAATTATACAAAATATTAACATATAGTCTTAAGAAAACAGGTTACCGACTGAGGAAGTGATATAGCTAAAGTAACATAAATCTGCTAATTAATTAGTGCTATTTTCCAAAAATGAAGTTTTTATCTCTAATATTTTACTACAAATTTATCTTTAAATGACAATACCATTCTTTTGCAACCTTTCACAATTATTGAAGCGTCTATACTATGGACTCAGACTTCTAACCAACTCATATACAGAACCTCAAACCACAAATTCAAGTACTAGTAAGAGTACTTATCGTATTCAATTTACCATATTTTTCTTTAAATTTAAATGCAAAAAAAACTACTGAGTACATATTACTTTTAAACTTACCCTTGACCAATTTCTTTTATCTTAGAATATTTTCTATTTGGATCTCCCACAGACACAAGTTTTCTCAAATTTTACATAGTATCCTCGTCTGTCATTTTCTTCTCCTTTGACTTGGTTGGTAAATTGTTGTTCTTCGTGGTGTTCTTCCCATTGAGTCTAAGAGATGAAAAGTTCTTTATATCATATTCTTTAACAGGTTTTGTATACTGGTAAAAACACCTAGTTATTAACTTTGCAGCTATGAAGTAATAATTCTAAGCCAGTAACACCCACCCTAATGCTCTGACACGAGAGAAATAATCAAAAAGAAGCTTTTGAATCATATGATCGAAGAACTGTGAAAAAAAACAACACAAAACCTAGAATGCCGTGGGTAAAAAACCAATAAAATACCCCATGAGTAATATTGAACACCATGGTTTGAAGTTTATCATTTAAACCAATTGAAGCTTTGTACTGTCAATTGGGGTTTGTGTTTTAGTGGACACTCCTGAAAAAGCTGTAAAGCGAAACGTTGAGTGTCCAATTAAAGAAAAATAACAAATTTGGAGGCCCCCAGTAAAAGAGCGGGCTTATGCCGCTAGAAATCAGATAGCCCGTTGAGTAGCTTTGTGCTTAACCTCAAACAAACAAATTTGGAGTTATGAAAATCGTTTATTACTAGCAATAAAATGTATTTTATACACCAATACGCATTAAAGAAAATAAAGTATTATAAAACAACAATTAATATAACACACACAAACATGTGTCTGTCAACAAGTATTAATTGTAATGTCACAACTTCTGTACAGAATGTTCTAAATCACACCATTAAAGTTATGAACGAAGTTAAATTTGTTTAGACAAAGAACCAATCTCTCGTGTTTTTATCATAAATAACACCTCTTGTATTGTTCTCTGCTGTTGGTGCAACATAAGTCCACATAATGACTATAAAAAATCAGAAAGTCTACACAAGTAATCCTGATATTTAGTTAGTGCTCCAATCATCAAAAAATAATTCAACAGATAATAATGTAACTGTGTTCAAATGAAAGTGTTGTTGTTGCTGTTTTGTTTAATTTTCTAAAGGACTGTCAGTAAATAAAATCTTCTACTCCTTCAGGAATTAGAGGTGAGATTTTAACTCAAACCGTGTAATGTACATAAGTTAGGAAAACTTGTAATCTACTATGTAGTGTTTATAATATCGGTATGCCTTGGGTTATGATCTGCTTTCTATTGTCAGCTATCCTGTTAAAGGTGTTAAGTAGTCTGATCTGTAATTTTTGTAACATGGTGAATAAATCATTACTCTCATATACGTAACGATAATATAGATACACATCTCTGAAGAAATCCGTAGGACCAACAACTACAATTAAAGTGTAAATATACAGTAATTATGAAAATTAACACAAAATATTTGCTTCATTAATTATTGATTCCACAACATGTATATAGCTAATTAATGACGGATTCAGAGACAGGGTATAATCTTTGTTGCTTTAATTCCACGTTTTTCACAGTCAAATAATTTTGACATGACCTAATCAAGCTAATATCTTTTTTATTTAGTAAAGTATAAAAACAAGTTTCATCACTTACCCAAAGCCAGGATATTTCTTATTCATAGCTGAGATGAGAGAGGATTTCAACTTCCAGCTATAGTTGTTTTCTTCCTGTGTTATTTTTCGTACGTATGTTAAACACAGGATCTCAAAAAGAAGTGTAGCTATAATAAGCGCGACAAGTGCGGACTGGAAAAATCCGAGGAGCTTCATGGCTTTCGGCATAGGTTTTAAACAACTTGATGTTTTTAGTTTTGTATATATTGAAGCTAACACTATACCCATTCCAGAAACAAAAATCATATAGACTTTTTCGAGTGGTAGCGATTCTTCCATCCACTGAGTATAAATGAAAATTATACTGCTAATGTCGCAAATATTACGACAAACAATAATAACAATCTGTACAACAAGCAGCAAGCACAGATTGTTATTGATGGAAAATTGGCCATCAGTTCTTTTACATAGAAAAACCATTTTCACGAAATGTTATTTTATAGCCTGCTTGATACTTTTTATTAGTTAGGAACCATTCAGTTTACTTGTTCTAGTTTCTAAGGTTTTACTCTTAGCAACATGACGTGTCTACAATATCAGATACATAATTGTTGTTGTGAGAAGAAGATGATTGTTGTATGTTTCTATTTTAATAGCAATTACAACAATATGTAGTTCGATATAAACTTATTAAAATATAGTTGAAAACAAGAAAGAAAGTTTTAAAATAAACGTCCTGAACAGAGAAATGACTAACATATAACAAACAGAGTAATGACTAACATATAATAAACAGAGAAATGACTAACATCTAATAAACAGACTAATGATTAACATATAATTAACAGAGTAATGACTAACATGTAATAAACAAAGTAATGATTAACATCTAATAAACAGAGTAATAACTGACATCTAATAAACAGAGAAATGACTATCATCTAATAAACAGAGAAATGACTAACATCTAATAAACAGAGTGATGACTAGCATCTAATAAACAGAGTGATGACTAGCATCTAATAAGCAGAGTAGTGAATAAAAATTATATGTTAGTCATTGCTCTGTTAATTAGATGTTAGTCATTACTCTGTTTATTATATGTTAGTCATTACTCTGTTTATTTGATGTTAATAATTTCTTTATTTATTAGATGTCAGTTATTACTCTGTTTATTAGATGTTAGTCATTTCTCTGTTTATTAGATGGATTAAGGAGGACGACTTGTATGCCGTATTCTCCTGGTGCTTTGTTTTTTATTACGTTTATAACTAGTAATTGTGTGATTGTTTTTATCAGTCAGAATGTTATCGGGTTTTTATTGACGTCATTGTTGTGTTGAGTTTGCTTCCATTTCATGTATATTTATTATATCGACATCCAAGGTTTTGGCTGTGTTAGTTTGTTTAATGCTATCTGAAATTTGTCCTTTCAGTTTCTCTACAGGGTTCACGAGCTCCACCTCAGCAGATATATCGAGACAACGTGTTACTTTTGAAGAGATTGTATTTTATTTGTCAAAAATGTTGGTGTGATAGAGTGTATAGGAAAGAGGGCAATCATAAATTGTACGAACACCTAACAGCATTATTTAACCTATCTCTGAACTCTGGATATATCCCAGTTTCTTGGTAGCAAGCGATTGTACTAATGTTCCATAAATAAAAAAACCAGCAAATAAACCAAAAAACGACCGCCCGATCACTCTGACTAGCTATGTAGGGAAAATTCTGGACTCTCAAATTATCTAAAAGTAGCCTCAAACTTACTGGAAATTCAAAATGGATTTAGAAAATATAGAACAATAACTGACTACCTGGTCAGTTTAACAGAAATTGTTATTGATAGCTTCAACAAAAACGAATGCAATGTTGTATGCTTTCTCGATATCGAGAAAACATTCGACACTGTCTGGCGCCCCTCCAGTGGCACAGCGGTATGTCTGCGGACTTACAACACTAGAATCCAGGTTTCGATACCCTTGATGGACAGAGCACAGATAGCCCATTGTGTAGCTTTGTGCTTAATTACAAACAAGCAAACACTGTCTGGCACGACGGTCGTAGGTCCCGAATGACAGAAATGGGCCTGTCACGCGTAATTATTCGCTGGTTACCTAACTTTTTGGAAAACAGAAGGCGTAAAATAAATTTTAGGGGAGCCTACTCGGAGTCATTTACACCAGAGGCAGGCGTCCCCCAAGGAGGGGTAGTTAGCCCTATTCTATTCATCCAGTACGTAAGCAACATGCCACTGAAAGACCCAAACACAGTATTTTCGTCTCAATTCGCAGACGATGTTGCGGTTTGGAAAAGTGCTCCAATCCCATCAATAACAACAATAAATATTTAACCACAATCAAACAAAAATATACGCCCCCCCCAAAAAAAAATCAACTAGTAGTATCTACAAAACATAAAAAAATCCTACCGAAGCTATATATATATATATATATGTATGGAACACTTCTCCAGACCACAACTTCAGCTAAATTTTTAGGGCTAACCTATGACTCAAAATAGACATGGGTTAAACACATTAACAAAATATTAACTAAAGTTTGCAAAAGAACAAATTATGCAAGAAGTCTAACAGGCAAAATCATGGAACCACACCAGATAATAACATATATTCGACCAGTAATATAATACGCATACCCAGCATGGATAAACATAACACCTAAACAGATAAATAAATTACAAACTCATTACTTACAAGAACCTATAAAGTATTACGCAGCACATCATCCAAATTCATGCCCAATTACACAAATATGCAAACAATCGCCGATACACTCTAGCATAATTCTCTAAATTACTTTAACAAAAATTTACATAAAAATGACCTACTGTGCGAACTTGACCGCTACAACGTACATGATGAAAATTGTTTGTTTGAATTTATACACAAAGCACACAATGGGCTATCTGTGCTCTGGCCACCACGGGTATCGAAACCCGGTTTCTATCGTTGTAAGTCCGCAGATGTACTGCTGTGCCACTGGGCGGCCATGATGGAAATAGGCCTACGCACCTCTCGCCACTCAATGTATATTTTAGATATAAAGAATTAATTACGCCATCTAATAATTCTAGACCTACATTAGTTTTAAAATATGTTAAAAAATTATAAAAGCGCATTCATGTGAAATGTTTTTAAATTAGGATTGAAGCTAGTGAAATGTGAGAGTATCATGTTGTATCTCCATATACATTCGTCAGAAACTATGCAACATCGTACAGGAGGGAGGAAAAGGTCTTTTAACCTGACCCTCCCAGGTCTTAAAGACCTAAATACCGATAAAATGCAGAAAGAGACGTGTACACCGCAACATAAGAAACAATATAAACATGACATCAACAGAACAAAAACTAAAAACAAATCATTCAACCCAACAAAAGAATCCACTACTTCCAACATAAATACAATACAAAGAAAAATCATACTCGGCGGTAACACAGCAAGAAACACAAAATGAACAAACACAACCACAAACCAGAGAAAAACACCAGCAACCAACAAACGAGCCCAACAGACAAAGTACAAACACTATCAATGAAGGTAACAGAGAATTAGCAATAATAATTACAAACATAATCACCGATTTCCTTCAAGAATATAGTAAACCAAATAACAAAACGGAAATTATAACACTAAACCAAATAAAAATACAGACATTATAACACTGATTGTCAATCTTATCAAAAAACACCTACAACATCTAATATCACATGTAATACACAAAATTATAATTAACATCATACCACAATGAATACTGTTATTGTATTATACATAAATATCCAAGACGGCCTTGTTTCTAAACGGCATGAGATCGAACACATGGCAGATATCATATTTATCACCGAAACAATGATCTTCAGTTACCATTCCTTCAAAATGGCAGGATACCAAGTAGAAAGAATAGACAAACCAACCAAGGAATACTCAGAACGGGACATACTACTTCTATACAAACAACAATTATCTATAAACACAATACATTTACTGTCAAAAAATGAAAATATTACAATAGATGTACTTCTAAGCAATAACCAAACAGTCACAATAGCAGGTATATACTGTTCACCATAAAACAAACCAGACACTACACTACTAAACAACATCTCCCAAAACAACAAATATATTTTTATAAGCTACTTCAATAGCAAAAACACAACTTTCGGTTGCAGAACCACAAATGTTAATGGAATACATCTACGATCATTTCTGGAAGATTCAGATACAACACCAACACATATCACTCCAGTGATATACTAGACCTGTGTATGTGTTCACCGATATTAATAAGATTCAGATACCAACCTACTAAACGATACAACACCAAAACATATCAGTGACACATAGCACTCCAGTGGTATACTTGACCAGTGTATGTGTTCACTAATATTAATAAGTTTCAGATACCTACCTACTAAACGATACAACACCAACACATATCACTCCAGTGATATACTAGATCTGTGTATGTGTTCACCAACATTAATAAGATTCAAATACCTACCTACTAAACGATACAACACCAACACATATCAGTGACACGTATCACTCCAGTGGTATACTAGACCCGTGTATGTGTTCACCAACATTAATAAAATTGGTACCTACCTACTAAACAATACCACACCAACACATATCATTCCAGTGATATACTAGATCTTTGTATGTGTTCACCAACATTAATAAGATTCAACTACTTACCTACTAAACGATACCACACCAAAACATATCAGTGACACGTATCACTCCAGTGATATACTAGACCTGTGTATGTGTTCACCATCATTAATAAGATTCGACTACCTACCTACTAAACGATACAACACCCAACCCTCTGTTTACACCAATGTTTCGTTTATAATGTACTCACACCTTTCTATAGCATTGCAAGTTATTTGTGTTTCACACCATTTTCTACATGTATGTTAAGCAGCCTTATATAAAACCAAGCTTTATTGTAACTTGTTTCGAAATTAATACATTATAATGGAACAAATATGTAGTGTTGTTGAATATATATCAATAGTAAAGCCTTTACATTATGAAAAAAAATGCTTTGTTTCAAAATATTTATATTCTTATGAGTTTAGTTTCTTTGCTCCTTTTGTAGAAAATATCTTTCTTGGGCTACTTTGGGGACATCACATTCCCTCTTGATTATTATATAAACGTAGAACCGTTATTCGTTTCATCATCATTACCGGATCCAAACTTCCTACGTAAGTACTTTTCTTGTATTACTGGATTCAAGTTATCTAAAAATGTTACCTCTATGGTTTTGGTTCAAAGATATCAAACAATTTTGCTTCTATACTGCTGAATCCAAGTCATCTAACAACGTCATTTGTACACAACTGGATCAAAGCTATCTGATAATGTTACTTGTACACAGCTGGATTTAAATATCTAACAATTTCACTTTTATATGGCTATATTTAATTATTTATCAATGTTCTTATATTCTTTTGTATCCAAGTTAAAATGTTACTTGTATACTTCCGGGTCCAAGTTTCTAACAATGTTTGTTGAAGTTAAGCACAAAGTTACACAATGAGCTATCTGTACTCTGGATCAGAGTTATCTAGCAATACTACTTGTATACTGTTTGGTATAACCTCTCTAACAATGTTACTCATATAATGCTGGATCCAAAGTAGCTAACAATGTTACTGGTCTCGATAACGATTCCCTCTTTTGGTATTCGGCCACATATCTCAATCATACCGAGTATTTGCCTATGATGCCTTTGTAATGTTCTTCTTCCAATGTTTCCATTACTAAGGAAGCTAGAAGAGCATTTAATGGTGAGTCCATGGCCAGTACAATATACGAATTTAGTGTAATATTCCCTTTGTAGAAGGAGATCATCTTCTCTTATCTCTTGTATCACTCTGGCGGTAGCCCTGATAGCAACCTCTGTAGGTACAGCAAGTTTACGTCGAAGCTCACCATCTTCTTGTTCTTGAATCTTACTTTTTCTAGTCTTCTGATAAGGTCTGTTAAGTTCTTCAATTGTGGATTGCTTATTGAATCCAAGGCTTGAGATAATGGTTTGGCCATGGTCATGGCTAACTTATGTGGTGCACTGCCTGTGCCTGATATTATAGGTCACGTGTGTATTTTTGGTGTGTATACCTTTGGCATCTCCTTTATGATAGGAGTGCGAAAATTTTCTTCTCAGAGATGCATTAATCTGTTTCAACTCTCTGTCTTTCCTAGAACAGTGGGAGTCTACAAGTGGGTGGAAGTGGTTGCAAGCCTGTTGAAACCGTCTAGCAACGTCAAGATTGTAGCAGCTTCCAAATTTACAGCTTAACATATTCTCACTCATGGTGTTTTCTACTTCTTTTTCCACTTTAAAGCAGAAACATCAAGACATTGCCTTCAACCTTCTACAAGTTTCCCAGCAAAACCCCCAGAGCATCCAACACACCAGCAAACCAACGAACACAATCTCAGAAACACCCGTTGCCGCTGTTCAAGTCGCTCATGCCAAAACCACCCACAACTAGAAGCCAATTCCAAAGACATGTTCACGCTGATCACAGAAGTCGAAAAGCTACCTCAGCCAACACACAAATTTACCCAGACCCTTCCTTCAAAGAAATACACAATGAAAACTCAATCCATGCATATTAAACTATCACTAAACCACTCTTGAACATCGACTGATTCCTTCCAAATGAGACCTGTGAAACCTAGAAACATATCTCTAAGAAAGCCAGGAAAACCCAAACGGAAGAACAACTTGTCGACGACATTCAAACCTTGCTTCACTGATCATCCGGATAATCTCTTTCATCCTACGATTATAGGACCGATACTATGTTTGACGAAAACTTCCAGTACCAGTTCCCATGTTTCAACATTTTTTACTCCAATGCAGAAGAACCAGTCTTTGAAGAAGACTGCCATCAGACGATTTCAGCCTTACCATCGCCTTCCTACCAGCCAAGCCTTTTTTTAAATGGTCTATTATACCTAATGTATACTAACCTTTTCCTTTCAGCTTCCATCTGCACGGTCAGGACATTCTTTTCGGCGCCCTATGATTCCAACCCTATTTTCATTCGCAAAATTGCAAAAGTTACTAAGTTAAAGTATTGTAAAGTCGTTAATGATTTCAAGACTTGTAACAAAACCCCAGAAATTTATCCTGATTTTGTGGAACTTTTAATTATACCACTTTAACTTTATAGTCCATCAATTTATTGAAATTTTAATTGATGACATAGTACTAGTGTTTCAGGTCTGTCATCATTCATGGTCTTGCCAACCTTGTCACTGCTTTGATCCTTTTCACAACCTCTCCTCCTTTCTGTGCTGTTTCTTGCTTTCAGCTTTCCCAGATGTCTCGATGCTGCTCATTAGTCACGTACACTGCCTCTTAATCCTTTAACGACATGCTAATAACGGTCACACGCCACTTGTTAAACCGAAATAAGTTACTTAAAGTTTCGGCATAAACATTTTACCAATTCACATAAAAATTATTCTAAATTTCACATGCGGAACGAAGAGGAACATCAGATTCGGAGTACTCTTGGTTATATTTTAGACCTCTTCATGGCCTGTTAGATTTTAAATCAAAATTATTGCCAAGATATTAGATTAGATCAGTGTCATAATTTCCTGAAGAAGACTTATAGTCGAAACGTTGAGGATAAAAGATCCTGTCATTGCATCCATAGTCTCATTGCTACCTCAGTATCCATGAGTTAGTTGCATTTTACTGAATATATGTATGAATGATGTATATTTATCAATTTTAATGAATTAATTAATGAAATGTTTGAATCACGGAACTGTAGAATATATGTTTTAAAGTGATGTCATGTAGGAACAAATTAATCTATAATAATATAAGTACATGTCTGTGGGTCTCTACGTGTGACTGCCATAACTCCAAGAGGAAAGAACTTAGAAACCTGAAATTCTGCACAAATACTAAGTGAACACTGATGATGTGTACCTTAGATATTATGACCTATCTTATCTACGTGCTTGCGCATCTTTTTAATGAGGCAAGCTAGCTAAAACCACTTAGAAAAGAAGTGATACCTTGTATTGCGAATAGAAACTACAGACAGACACGTGCGTGTTTATGTATGTGTGACCATTCTAGTACCAGGAGGAAAGAACCTAGAAACCTGAAGTGGATCTTAAGGGTATGCGCCTGGATATTACTAATCTTACCCATGTGCATGCACATCTTTCTAATGATGCAAGCTAGTGAAAAACACATAGAAAAGAAGTGGTTCCTAATATTACAAATATAAATCAAAGACAGACACGCACGTGTGTGTGCGCGCACGTGCGTGTCTGTATATGTGTGACCCCACCGTAGCTTCAAGAGGAAAGAACTGAGAAACCTGAAATTTTTCATCAATACTAAGTGGACTCTGAGGGTGTGCACCTGAGTATTATTACTTATCCTATCCATTTACGTGCGTGCAGGCGCGTGTGCATATTTTTAATGAGGAGACTTGCGAATAACCACATAGAAAAGAACAATTATAAATCACAGAAAGACAAACAGTATACAGGTTATACTTTTGTGCTAAAATGGGTTCAGAATACACAAACACTGTCAACCTAATAACCGGCAATCTGCGGGTCCGGGTTCGAATCCCCGTTTCATCAAACATGTTCGCCTTTTCAGCTGTGGGTTCGTTATAACGTGAGGGTCAGTCCCACTATTCGTTGGTAAAAGAGTAGCCCAAGAGTTGGCGGTGGGTGGTGATGACTAATTGCCTTCCCTCTAGTCTTTCACTGCTAAATTAGGGACGGCTAGCGCTGATAGCCCTCGTGTAGCTTTGCGCGAAATTCAAAACCAAACCACACCTAATAACCCGAGCGAAACCGAGTACTTTCGCTACTAAAATATAAATACGTTAGAATGATTTAAACAGTTTTCTTAAAAAATTTTGCAATTCAGTTCAAGGTCATGTTCCAAAATTATTAGTAGAAATTATTTTTGGTGGTCTTAATTTTTCTTAAGTCATTTACAAAAATGTGATTGATCTGAAACTATTATTTCATACCGTTTCTTAATTCTCATGATTACGTTAGTCAGTTCAGTCAATTTGATATTCAAAGTTAATGCTAATACCATACGTATTCAGAATATGTAATGTGTTATTACGAAGTTTACTTACAAATGTGCCCCCCCCCCAGTGGCACAGCGGTATGTCTGCGGACTTACAACGCTAGAATCCGTGTTTCGATACACTTGGTGGGCAGAGCACAGATAGCCCATTGTGTAGTTTGTGCTGAATTACAAACAAACTTATAAATCGGGTAAT